CTTTGTTTTATATCAATGTTAATTTACATAATTTGCAAATTTAAAAAATAAGGTTACATTTGCCTGCAGCAAACATGGATATACCATACAATTCCTATTAATTTAATGGGAGTTGTGACCCCCATTAAGTTTAATAGGAGTCATACGGCCAAATCCCCATGTACCTTGCTGAAAATTTACCTCCTAGCTTTAAACTAATCAAATAATCTGAAATGAACAAAAGCAGTCAATTTTCCTAGACTGGGAAATGTAAAGTCCCTACAGTAAAGTCAATTCAGCATTATGATGGCAATGGCCACGTAGTTAATCCCAGCAAGAAAAAGAACAAGGTTATAACAGTGAGAAGAGACAAACTGAAGCAAGGTGGTTTAGGAGTGCAGAAAACAACATTTACCCATCACAGAAAATATGTTCTGTTTTTTCCAATGTGGAGTCAATTTTCCAATTTTTTTCTTTCTTAGTACAATGTCTAAAAAGAGTAAAAACAAAAATCCCTTTTTGAAGCCTAAAATTATGCCCAAGGAGCCTGATCAGACGGATAAAGAACCATATGAAAAGAACCATAGATAACTGGTTACAACTTCTGAATCACAGTGAATTAAATCATAATTTTTTCTGGAAAAACTTTTTAAAAAGTTACTTTATAGCCACAGCCATGCAACCATATACCTCACCTCAACTACCCGTACACCAGATTACAGTGGTTCTTAAGTGTGATGCTGAGCAACATGAGCCTCATCCCAGAAATTTTTCAGAAATGCAAATGCCTGGGCCCCACCCCAGACCTTCTAGGTGATTCTTATGCTCAAGTTTGAGAACTACTGCAATACTTTATTTCACATCCATGCTGTTCTCTCTCGGTTGGTTTTTTCTCCACCACCATGCTCACCGCTGCCTTTATCTAGCTTGTGCAGCTCATACTGAGATTCAGCTCAAGAATCATCATCACTTCAGGCTGGAAGCATTTCTTGACACACACCCAATGCTTCTGGAGTATCACCATCATGGCACTTATCACCCTGTTATTACAACTGTTTATTGTCCCTCTATCAACTATTAAGACCACGACCCTCTTCAAAGATTTATGCTATTCAGTGACGGATACAGAATAAGTGCTTACCATAAGCCAGGCATTGTTCTAGGCATTTGCATGTTGATGAACAACAAAAAAGATCCCTGCCCTTGTGAAGGTGACATTCTGTGTATGTGTGTGTGTGTGTGTGTGTGTGTGTGTGTGTGTGTGTAAATATAAATTCTGTACATTTTATTACATGTATGCATCAATAAAAGAATGAAAGATATAAAGAATAAATATAGGTCTGAATTATTCTAATCTTTCTTAAGTTTAACCTTGGAGAACGAAGTTACTATTCCTTCCACTAAATTATAGACCATTCTGAAAAAAATATTTATAGGCCAAAACAGGTTTTTTAAATTCATAAGTGACCCCTAGATCTACTATTTTCCTGCCACTCAACTAGCAAAAAGATCCTACAGCCAAACATCATTTTTTACTAAGACATAATTAACACAAAAATCATTGTAAAATGTGCTTAGAGAATTTAAAAGTACAGTAAAAACTGCTAAGATACTATTTCTACAGCTATGTTCTTAAATTTTCTTGATGTATATAAATAAATATGTAAAGCTGTATCTATGTGGCATTTTTACCTGGCATAATATTTTCTTTGAAATAAGGATAAGCAACAATGTAATTCAAGTTAATTAACTAAAATTTCGACTAATGAAATCTAATTACATACTCACTGCATAAAGAATTCAACCTGAAATCCGTATTACCTACTTCGTTGAAGAACTGCTATTATTTGTAACTTGTCACTTGAGCAAGCCTTCATATATCTGACTTATGCTGGCCAGGGCTCCATTATATAGCATAATTTAATTCTCTAGGACACAAAAATTCAATTTACTTTCCTACTTACTGATACATGTTTCCACAGTGGGTTACTTGGCTTGTAAAAATTGGCCAAAAGAATCAAAGCACCCCAGTTTCTCAACAAAACTGATTTTTAAAGTGCTAGATATTAGTCCTCTAAGAGTAAAATAAATTCTAAAAAAACTTACAAAATATTGTGGAAGTTTGGTCTTTTATAGTCATTTTTTATTTGAAAATTCTAAACATAATTTTCAAAAAAAACACAGGAGAGACTTTAAGAATAAATAAAACACTGTTCCTGCTTTGCAAAAACCAGTAAATTTTAACGGGTAAGACTTTATTCTTAAACACTAATTGACAGAAATGGAGAAGATAAGCTAATTCTAACAATTAAACCTTTATATAATTAGCTTTTACCATGGTAAAACTTAAAAAAAAAATGTTTAGTGATTTGCTCTTTAACATGCACACAAAACATGACATATTTATAATGTTTGCCTGGACTTAGAACAAATACATAATTCCTCCTTGCATATATGGAAATTTACCTCTCATATATACAGATGTAAAACAAATCCAAAATTATGTTAAGCCTTTAAAATCATACACTAAGGTAAAACACTACTGTAAACAGGAGAAAAGAAAGCTCTGAAAAGGAAGGCACGGTCCATGGCTGAATACAATACACAGGCTTGTTTTATTTAAAAACAAAATCTTATTTAGTTGCTACTACTTAAAAATCTAACAACTGGTTTCTGTTGAAAAGTTAGAAGACTGGCAAAACCAGGCTAAACACTGGAAAGGCAACCATGGTTCCTCCAGCAAACACTTTCCTGCTTGCTGCAGACCTCCACTGGCCTGCTGCACTCAAGTTACTTTGCCTGCTTGGCCAAATAGGTAGGTGTTTGAGGTTTTGACCCCTGCACAAGACCACAAGCTCCTGAAGAGCAGGACCTGTGCCTTGTGCATTTTTGAACCCCAAGCACCTGGCTCAATTTAGTCACTCAATAAATGAGGAAGGAGGGAGGAAACCATCTAGAAAACCTTATCTGAGCTTACCGGCAAACATCCAGGAGCTGATAAAAAAAGTGCTCATAGCTATAAGATTTGAAAAAGTAACAATCATGTAAGGGCCCTGAAGAAACTTAATGGCTGAATAATTAAATTTATATCTTCTTCCCTGTGCTCTCATACCCCACTTTGATTGGTTTTCTCTATAGGTGTTCACAAAGCATTATCTGCTTGCTGGCAATAAAGGACTATCATGTCGCGTAAAACTTCTCTAAGACAAAACCACGTGACGCTGGATCAGTGTTCTAACAGTGAAGTGCACAGTCACTCTGCATACCCTCACAGTTAGTAGTGTGGGTTCGTCCTAGGTTCTTTTTACCTGTAGGAGGGAACTGCTTCAAAAGCAACACCCCCTGGCCTGATGCACCAAAAATGAAATTTCTCTTAACAACAGATATGCATCCTGACCTGATAGGTGACACTAGAAATAAAACTGCAGTATCTCATGAAAAAGTCTCTGGTTTGCTAGCCCCCTGCTGAGTTAAGCTACTGTGCCAGCAAAGTAGTCTCTATCTTGATTGGAAAATTTTTTATTATGTGGACTAATGAGCCATTGATCTACAACTGGAATCTTTTTAAATGTATAAAAACATTCAAACATAACAGCAGGAATTCAGTTAGTTTTTCCCTCTAAAAAAACAGTTGCAAAATTATAGACTATACACAAGATTTTCATAACAATCCAAGCCAGAGATTCATATTATTAACTCAGTTTCTGCTCGTTGTTTATCATTACAGTACTATTCATTCAGACATTACATTTTAATGTCAGATTTGATGTATCTTTCAATTCTGATGCAAAGAGCAATATCTTCTGAAAATAAAATATTAACCCATTTGTAACTTTCATGTGTGACAAATGCAAGTGAGCATTATTTACTTTCTGAATACAGAAGTTCTTATGTTAAAATTTTTCTCAACTTGTTATTTATCTGAATTATATTATTAAGTTATGTCAATATATTGAAAGTAGGGGACTGGGACAGCAAGGAGAAGTGATGAAACATAATTTTGGAACAAGCAATTCAAACAGAATTCTTTCGGAAAAATGTTAACATTTTGAAGCTTATTACAAAGACATTAGAATAAAAAGCTTCTATCTATTAATTGACAGTATGCCTTTTTTTCCATCTCCGATTTTATTAACAGGTATAAATGGGATCATTTAAAAGTACATATATAGCCAATTTAAAAATTCCAAGACATTTTCTTCAAGAATATTTAATTGTGACCAAAAAATCCATTATATTTTACATGCATTTCTCCGAGATTTTGCATTCTTTCACAGATTTTACAAGTTTAATATAATTTCATGCTGAATACAATGACTGCCACTACCAACTAGCTATAAAATTAACACATCTTAGCCCCACATTAACTTCTGACCTGCTCTGTAAAAAGCACCTGGAAGGGTGTTATTTTCACATGGAAATAACATGTAAGACTAAAGAAGTAACGGATACCAGAAAATCCATATAGTAATTATGGTTTCAACTATTTCATTAACCCTCTAAAGTGTCTTTACTTCTTTAAAAATCAGGTCTGTCTTCAATAAAGATAACATTAGAAAGGAAGCACTACAAAAAATAACTTTTTCCAGAAAATATAAAAAGAATGTATTTAGAAGTTTTAGAACAATGACCACACTTAAGTAGCACACAAAACTAAAGATGAAATCAAAGAGTTGCCACAAAATATTTTCAATTTTACTGGCATAAATTCAGTCAACAAATGTAACATATATACCAAAGCAAAGCTTTCATTTAGTTCTCTCAGGATTATTTACAATGATTATATTTACAAATGTATGTAAAATATAAATTCAGATTTATATCACTTTCTATAATATATAGCTGTGTAATGAAAATAATTCAACCACCAGATAAAGAATATGACATTCAGGAAATCTTTTTAACACTTAATTCTAAAATAATAAAAAAATACTCATTCGAGCCACTTCTACATAAAAAAAAAGATTGCATAGTTTAAGTTCTCCTGAACTTAAAAAATAAAATTTAAACTGTTACCTTACCTTCTGTATTCGGTAAGAAGCTGATTATAATGATAAACCACAGGCTTCGCATTCTGCAACCAGAAGACACCATTATTGATCCCTTTAAATATTTTCTTTGTATTCCTTAATGAATCTAGTTATAAATGTCCAGCTTCATCGAACCCAGCGGTCTGCATCATTGATCCTCATATCTGAAAAACAAACAAATCCATCATTTACTCTATGGTCCTGCAATGTCACAAAAGATGAAAAAATAATAATAACAACAACTCCTCTCTTTCCCTCCTTTCCTCCCTCCTTCTCCTAAGTATAAAAAAAGGGCATATATTTTGATTCTGTATGCAACAGGAAGTTGCTCCTATACACTGGATATCTGAGCTTTGCATTCTGGAAACAATCAAAACCCCCCAAAATTAAAGGTAATCAGAACATATGAATTCACATAATAGTTATATAATTTCCAAAGATAAATTTTTCTTTGAAAAGATTAAAAAGTTATTCTAGAATAATATATCTGCCTTTCAATGCCACGTATTAGTCATTTTATCAAAGTACTAGCTTTGGTACACAATACCTCCAACAAAATTTCATAAATACATACACTTTCTTTGTTTCTAGTGATGGTAACAGCAGTATTATCTACTCTTTTATCCTGTTACCTTGCAAAGTACATTACAGATATAATGAAACAGTTTATTCTTCTATTCAACGGTGTACAATTTTTAATATATGGTTGTACTTTATATCATAATGACATTCCAAACACCACATAGCAAACTGTTATTTATCTGGTTACTAGTTATTCATAAAGGGAGCAGTTTAATAAAATGATTGCTCTTAACTATTTTATTTTAAACTTTTAGATTTTCATGTATCAGTTTTTCTTACAGCAAAACTTAGTAAGATCAAACCCATATCCTTGAGTAGTTTAGTCCATCCACTGGACGAAAATAAAACCGCAGGCCATGATGATTATATCTCCAAGGTTGCATCACTATTTTTAAAAAAACAAGGGAGGGGTGGCAAAGAATATAAAAACCAAGAGCCAAGTTTAATTCTGACTAGCCCTTAAGGACACAGTTCTTCAAATGCAGAGGATACAAAAACTTCAGAAGTGATTTAATCAGCATTTCTAAGTTCCCAGAATCACGTGAAACCAGGTTATTTGCTGGGTTCTACTGAAGTGTTTTACTGCTTTCTGGGCTAGCATGAGGAATCAAAGAGTAAATACCAGCCTTACAATACACACATACTATGAAGGCAGTTCCAAAATATATACAGCCTCCTGATATAGCTTCTGAGGGTAAAGAAATTACAAATTCTTCCTTTAAAGTTTTCCCATCCTATCCTTAACCTGGTGCAAATAAAGAGTTTTTTTTAAGTGGAGCACTGAAAGTTACATGAGGTTGTGTCTATAACGCAAATCAAATGAACTCTTGCATAATTTAGATGCTATCACTAAAGCATAAAGAAAATTTAGAAAACCAAATTTCCCTAGATAACTTTTGAGTTCTCTGTTTCACATTATCTGAGCTACTCTGCATTTGCTACATTCTTTATGCATCATATGTGATTCTATTAGCAGGTCACTATATTCTGCTATCACTTCCCTACAATGTAACTTCAATGGAAAAGGGGTCAGATGCTAAATGGTTTGGAACACTTAATGCTACAAAGTCACTATCTTGCTTCACCAACACACAGAAAGAAGGTAAAAAATTAATCTGAAGTCATTATCTAGTGTTTAAATATGAAGACCCATAAAACCACAAAAGGAACTAGCAAGATATTTTTGTCATAAGAAGTTTATTTTATCATGCCTATAGTTTCTGAGATAAAACTGTTTCCATATACACCTCCATGATTCATAATCAGCCCAGTTTTTTTAGCTCCCTCTGAAACCTGTGAAGACAATTACGTATCATAATGAGGGAATCAGAACTGGCATTACCAAGTTTTAAGAACACCTCAGATGTTCTTAGAAATAAAACAAAAACAAAGGGAAAAGCAAGCTTCCTCCTCTGCATGCCAAAAATATAAAAAGAAGAATGATACATCAAAAATTAATCTGACGGAGGAGACACATGGCACACAACCCTGAAAAACTGGCTGGCTCTCTATTCATTTTTCACTCTGAGCTCCCAAAGACTATTCGAAAGACAAAATCAAAAGTAAACCTTCCATTTACAACTGCTGTGCAAAGTATTTGCCTTAAAACTGCAAGCTATTTTATATAAAGCACAGAGAGAAGTCAGATAATTTCATGGCCTGTCATATCAAAAGGGCTAATCAGTGAACAATTTCTTACTACCCACAGACTGGTCAATGATTGGCTCAAGCAATTAGAATAAATTTAATGTGTGGAAGAGGTGCATTAATTTTACTTGTAGTAATTAAGTCAGCCTTTGGAATGCTCCCGATTTAAGCAAAGAATCCTGACTACCCAGGTTTTGGTTGTAATGGGTACTTTCATTTCAATGAACTAATGCATACAGTCTGCGTGCCCACATGCACAACCCTTGAACACATTTCCACTTTCTTAAAGCGATCCAAGATCGGTCTGTCTTTGGTCATCCGCTATTTGAAAGAGTCCTTGTTTGTGGGAAGAAAGAGAAGGAAGAAATCAGGGACTGACGACTGCCTTGTAAGAGACAGCTGCCAAGATAGGAAAACCTCTGTTAGTGAAGGGAAAAGGAGGAGGAAACCACACAACCCAGACCTCTTTTGTGGTCTCTGGCCAGGATAGAATATTTTATGAACTGATTTTAACTATACGCTCTAGTCAACTATGAGACTTAGTATAAATGACTGTTTCTAACAAACAGAAAGAGATTCTGGAATGTAATAAAATCATGGCTTCTTTCGCCCAAATAAAGCTTAAGTCCATCCATCTGTCTGTGCAATGAGTAAAAGAATATCAAATTTATTTTTCTCATTCTGCTATCTACATCAAATCACTTTCACATCAAATAAAATTATTTTCTAAAGTTCAAGTTTTAAATGCAATTTTGAAAACAGTCAAAAGATTTTACTGCTGTGATCCAAATTAAAAACAACCTTCCATTAAAGAAATTAATGAAAACTTAAATACTTAGCAGACCATAATCAGCTAAGGATAGAATGAATAAATAATCAAACATGGTGAAACTAATCCCAAGAAAACTGCTCCTAAATCAAACTGGAGCCACAAGACACTCACTGGCATAGATGGAGCCAACAGACTCTATATAACTACCTGCAAAATGAAGCTCAGTATAAGTGTCTCACAACGCAAAACAAGAACAAAAACAAGGAACAAAACCAGAAAAGGGCTATTAAACTTTCTTTCAACAAACAGAAAAGATTAAGTGATTCCCCATATTAAAAACCAGTTTGTCCTTAGATTTTTAGAAAAACTCTTCCCAAGAACTTCAGGGAAAAATTGGGAGGGTAAAGGCACAGATGAAACCCCACATAATGCTAAGTAACAGTTCATTGCTTAATAAAAACTGAAACAGAACATTTTTACTCAAACTACAAGTGACTATTTCTTTTCTTATCCTTCAAATAAGGGGATTCAAACTATTTCATCCTAACTTTGTTTCTATAACCACCTGCCATTGTCTTCCAAACCTCTGTCAAGATTTTTTTTAGAGTAAGTATCCTATTACTCTGTCATGTAAAAAGTCAATTAATGCATCATTAATACTAAACCTTCCAAAGCTGAACAATGACTTCCAGGAACATGCCTCAGCATTGTTTATATCCCAACAGTCCTCAATGTTTTATACACTACTTACAATGTACAGTTAGCTGTAGCCTTTCAGACAGTAACCTGCTTATATTTATTAGCTGCATTAAACATCCCATGCCTTAAACTGTCAGCAAAATTAAGAAACCATTACTAATCAGTTTTAATATTTGTGTATTTATGTTACATTACTAAGAAATCACATTTAACCTTATATATGATATCTGTCTAGCAAAAATAGAAAAAAAAATAAAACCCATTTGTTGAAAAGCATCAATGAAACAAGTAGGATACAGCATGCTTCAAATTAATGAGAGAAAAAGATAATTTATTTTTTTCTAAAAATGGTTAACTGAGTTGATATTCTAGTAAGTGCAAAGACACTAAAATTCATATCTAAAGCTTTATCTTTGATTTCTACTCATGGACACTGAACTACTGTGAACACCGGATATTACACCCAAACAACCATAAGTATGAGAACCGGAAAGGCAAAGAGACATATTAAGCAGGAAACCTACCAAAGTTACCCATCCTTGTTACTATGCACTAATGCTGTATAAAATGAAACATTCACACTTTGTGTCAGCCTAAAATTCTATGCACTAAGTGTATGTCAATTTTAAATGAGAGCTAAAGACAGCTGTACAAAATCAGTCTTTCTGATCTAATTTGTGCTATAAAATTATAGTCACTATGGGAAAGAATTTACTAACTAAAGAAAGCTGCTTTTCTATGTTTTACCAAAACAACAATAACAGCAGCAACAGGATGATATTAACCCCACTCTGCCCCCACTCCAAAGATTTAGAAAATAAAAAATAAATTGTAGAATTTCCCCTTCTCGTTAACATAGGAGAAAACATCAACACCCTTGGGATTTTTCTTTCAGTAAGTTGCCTAAGTAAACCCTTGTTATCACTAATCAGAAAGCCTTTTTTAGCTCCAGACATTTGACGTTCTTTTCGCGTTGGACTTTATTTTCCCTTCACGAAGATAGGGCTGGGGTTGGAAATGCTAATAGCGATATTAAAACCACGTGGACAACCAATAGTCGCCACCCTCTTTCTGTTTCATTTCTGCAGATATTGGTATCAAATATAGAGTACTTTAATTACACCATTTATACTAAAGTCCCCTTAACATTCATTTTTGATCTTACCCTTTATTGAAACTTCTTCATCACTGTGAAGGTATAAATTCTCCTGTGAGAGGACTTAGAGGAGGAGTAGAAAGGAGAAGAGTTCAGGAATGCTCCCAGTAAATTATATCTGCTATCTGCTATGATATCTAGGAGTCATGCTGAGCATGCAAAAGAGGCTTGTAGCTGTGGACTCTGGAGGCACAATGCAGGGCAGTCTGCCATTCTCTTCATTAAAATGCTTCCAGTTGAAATAATAAAAACAAATGGCTGTCATTTTCAAACCAACATGGGGGACGTTTTATGACTGAACATAATAG